TCATCCAACACAAGGAACATAAAGACTTATAGACTCTGTCAGCCCCCAGCTACTGGACCAGAAATTAATTGCATAGTGGCCATGGCCTGTATGTTAAATATACATTGCTTTCTGCTTCTTTAATGAAGATGAATGTTCCATAATTTGTGTATGGGAACCAGCCCAGAAACCTGTTTACAGTAGTTTTCCCAACAGGCACTTCATAATTCATACTAACACATACAGTATATTTAAGCCATCCAGGAGAGCTTCTTTTGCTTAGCCTAGGACTTTCTGCCATCAGTGGATCTAACCGGCTTGTGTGAATCCGCCACGGTTACCAACTATCCCAAAATCACAGGATAGTCTTGGGGTACAAACCTTCCACTCCCAGCCCTGCTGCTGGTGTGGCCTAGACCTGAGCCTGCCTAAGTCAATGGAAAAAAATCCCACTGACTTCAGAGGTGTAGGATCAAATCCTTAGCTTTGTGATGCACCATCAAGTGTTGCAGTGTCAAGACAGTGAAATGGATTGCCTGCTAATGAATAATTTAATATCTCCTACCCAGTTATTTTAAGAAATCCCACACCTTTCAAGCCTCCAAAGTATACTTAGTTCATTATACCTGCAACCTTGTCTTCCTGTTACTGTCACCTTCATCTCCCCTTCTTCTCCCCCTCCATTGTGATCTTAATTCCTTGTTGCATCAGTGAGCTCTTGAGGACAGGGGCTAACCCACTGAATATTTGCACCCAGCACAATGAGGCCTTGATTCTGTAACACACAGTACATATAACGATTGTCTCACTGTATGGTAACACTGTCTTTTTCACATAGAGAATTAAAATAGGCAAGGGCTTTTCCTGTAGTGAAGACCCATTACTCTTGGAGTGGCAGATCTTGTTCCCCTGTCAATGGCCATGTAAGAAACAAAAGTCAGTGGAGCCACCCTTTTATATTGTATGTAACAGACAAGTATAGTGAAGCTGTGTGTGGGGACCCGATCTTGGAGCATTGTTCAGCGAGGATATGGAGATGTTGTGGAAGGTAGCTGGGACAGATGGGGACTGATTAATAGGGTGAACAAATGATACCATCCCCTTGCTGGTGTCTCCCATCTAGGAAGCACAGAACAGTCAGTAGCCTTTGCTACAACCTCCCAGAGGCTATGATATAGCAGTGGTGCAGGGAATGGGAATCCTTCCATCTCCTGCATGTTACCTGTGCACAACACATTTATTTGGCGCTTAAAGAACCTGGGAAAGCAGCCATCCTAGTGTCAACTTATTGTCATTGCTGGGTATTCGATGAAGAAAATGTGTTATACAGACATGTACAAAGACATAGTTCCTATCCCAGTGAGCTTGCAATAGGTAAAATAAAGGAACACTCTTTATAGTTCATTGAATGTGGTTTTCAAATCATAGTATCTATTTACATTTTCATCGAGAAAGCAGAGACAGGTAAGTTAAACAGGTACAGCAGTTTCATTTAACCAAGCCCCTCATTCAGTTAAAGGTTAGTACTTATCCATTAGCAATTATACTACAGAAGTATGATATCCAAAGGAATCTTTTTTTAAAATGACGACGGTAGCCTGATACTGTATTCTATCAGAGACTATACTAGCACTGCTGTTGGTTGTAACTTTTCAATTCAGGACTGTCTTTAGATGTCTTTGTGTGTGTTGTTTTTAATTTATAAAGTATTTTTCAAGACACTTGACACACTGGAGGAAAAAATACAGAAGAATTCTTATAAACTATTAAAACTACCTCTCAAGCATGAGTCTGAGGGTATCAGCCCTGCAAAGGGGTCGTTGGTAAATGGGAGACCCTGCTTTGCTATCATCAGCCCTTCCCAGCTGCATCCTTGAGGTATTTCTGTGAGGTGTCAGTGGTTCAGGAATTGAATTATTTAATTTCCTCATAGCTTGAAATGCACATCATCTGGATGTCTTGGTCTATAAAATATATTCACTTTTCCCTTCAGCCGCATTGGCAAGAACCTTCATTACTTCCTAGCTGTCTATACCACTTTTCTTTATTTCATTTGATGAAGGCCAATTGGAAACAGGCAGATTAATGCCATGGTGCAGCCCTTTTAAGATCACCATTTGATTTAATTTCTCTCATTTATTAATGAGCCTAATTTGTGTCCAATTCCCTTCTTCTCCATCCTCGTCTATTCATTCTTCTTAACTCTTTTAGGTTGCATTAACTAAGTCTAGTTTTTGATGCTTTTATCTGCTCTGAAAGCATTAACTGACTGAGTGCAAGCCAAATTCTCAGCTGATGTAAATGTGTTACTTTCCATGGAAGTCAACGTTGTTCCCATCTATACCACCTGTGAAGATAGCCCTTGTTTTGTTCTTCCTCATATCTCCATTTCTAGCACATGACTGTTTATTATTTTCCTATCCCTTCTGAAGATCACATTGGTACCCTTTTGAGAGTGATGATTTTAACTAAAAAAATAAGAGTTTTTAGAATTCAGTGATTGTCCAACCACATTATAACAACATTTAATGTAGATCAAAGTTTAGGCCAGTCTATTGGGTTTGTGCCTGTAAATTGTAACTGTATTTGAATTGAAGTCAGTTGAGCAGTGTCCATTTACAGCAGCTGAAATTCTAACCCACAATGTTTAAATTAATCTTTCATATTGTAATTCCTTTTAATAATAACACAAGAGAAACTCCAATAGTTAGTGTGTGGCATTGGTTTTAAACTACCTCTGTTTTGACTTGTTAAAAATAGTCATAGGATTATAAATTAAATCTGAACATTTCCATTTGAATGTCCTTGTCACATTGGATTGGAAAGGAATGCATGAATGAAATACTGAATGTATTACTGAATGTAACAGTTCTTTTAGGGTCAGAGTTCTTGTGCAGGCCAGAGGAGATCTTTAGCAATTCTTTGAAAAAGATAAAACACACAGTCTATTTTTTCTGAAGCTTTGGAATCCTCTGCTTATGGAATTCCAAGAAGTCTGCATGGTAACAGGGCTAGAAGTGTAATGTGTAAAAGCAAGTTGCTGTTGCAAAAGAAGTGTATGTATATGCATCTAGTTTTTCTGCAATCATTCAATCCAGCAGCATCAATAAATACAGAATACAAATACCTTCCTTTGAATTTCTTGTTGGCCTTTGTGATGACTTCTAGTGCCACCAACATAGCCTTCCATTAGCAGGATAAATAATTGTGTTTCCTGAGAGAATGACAGAAAATAGCTCAGATACTTCATATCCTTGACCAGTTTCCATTTGAATCTTGCAAATATCCATGTTAGCAAATTATTGCAAAAAAGGGATCAAGCATACAAAGTCCCCCCTCTATTGACAAAGGACAGTCAATTCAATTCCTGTTCTTGGTATTCATTGTATACTGTCGTTATCTGTTATTAATTCATTCATATCCACCATCGAGTCTATATATTTCAAGTAAGGACTTCTGAACAGGACCTACATAACATTCTGATATAGTTGTCACAACAAAACTGTACACTAGTTTGAATCACCCCCAACAAGTTTTTTTTATAGTTATTTTTTTCTAGTTTGTGTCAATAGTTTTCTACCTATAGTCAAACACAGTTACGATAAAACAACTCTGCTTAAAAATACAAAGAGAAACCAGAATTCTTCTTCGAGGAGTGTCCCTGCAGGTGCCCCACCTTAGGTCTTAAGGTGCCACTGTGTGCCTAGTCAGAGATTTACAGTAGCAGTGCCCTGCGGTGGGCTGCGCTTGCGAGGCAGGTAGGAGGCGCGGTGGCGGTGGGCTGTGCTTGCGAGGCAGGTAGGAGGCGCGGTGCCGCTACCACACATTCGCGGCCAACCAGGAGGAGTAACAGTTAATTCGAACTAAGGACTTAGTTCGAATTACCGTTTCACTGCCGCATGTAGCCACAGGCAGTTACTTCGGGCTAGTGGAATTTTAAAATGGCGACCAGACGGGAACATGCAAATAAAGCCCGGGATATTTAAATCCTGGGCTTCATTTGCAATTTCGAATGCCTACATTAGCCTCCCTAGTTCGAACTAGGGGGCTAGTGTAGACATACCCTAATAGATTAAAATTGTACTTATATATTGTTTAAGGAATGTACAGTATCTGTCTGTGGGATGTTTGGTAGAAAAGTAACAATATAAAAATAAAATCTGATGGAATCATTTAGATTTGTACAGGAAATAAAGGAAGGAAAGAATCTTCCTAGCAATGGCCATAAATAGTACAATTTCTAGTACTGAAGAAAAGACACTTTGGCTCTTGCTCAAGAGTCTTTCCTCTGTGTAACACTTCTGGGCACTGTCATGCTGTCAGGTGAAGGATGCCTAAACTATAGTGCTTCACTGATAAGTGCTGGTCAGATCACCTTTTCCACTGTTTTCTAAGAGAGAGTGGAGAGAAGGTTTGTCCTATTAGTCACTCACACCATCTCTTCCTCTTTTGAAGAAGCGCTTTTCTCCTGGTTTCTCTGATGAGTTTTTAGGATAAACACACAGGTATCAGAAGGGACTCTCCGGGCTGGGTGTAATTTCATATAGAGAGCTGTATGCCATAACCGCTACTGCAGTAAACTGGGCATCAGTGCAGGCCTATTGATAGGGACACTGCCTTATAAAAAACCCTGGTTTTTAATGTGGCTTTGTGAAGCAATGCTTCCATGGTAGTAATTTCATTGACAGTGTATGAAGTCTGAAGGATTTAAGACAACTATATGTGAATGTAAATAATCCTTAGAGTTTCTTCCATCCAAAGATCTCCAAACACATTGTGGCTATGAATGAATAATCCACCAACGCCCTTGTTAGGTGACTATAATGCCCATTTTTGGATCCAAGGAGGTTGAGGTGGTGGGGACAGGACATGAAACAAGGAATGCCTAATGACTATAGAAGGTCAACATAGCTTTTGTCTCTCCTTCCCCCCCCACGAGTCAAATATATTTTTTCATGAGTCATATGGAACAGAGGAGGATGGCCTGAAATGACTAAACACCAGCTTTGCTTCTCTTTCAGAAACATGATTCCTGTCACCGAATTTCGTCAGTTCTCTGAACAGCAGCCGGCTTTCAGAGTACTGAAGCCATGGTGGGATGTGTTTACAGACTATCTCTCAGTAGCCATGCTGATGATTGGTGTATTTGGATGTACATTGCAGGTAAATTAAAAGAAGTATAACATAAAGGCATGTTGTCAGGCGTGTTCAAAAAAGCCAGAGCCTTCTTTAGAAAGAACATTGTCAAGTTTTGTTTTTGCTATAGTCGCTATTAGCAGTGCCAAAAGCTGCTGGCCCAGATGAGCCATGTGTTTGAACAGATGAATAAAATATCATGGCCCAGATCCTTAGCTGCTGAATCTCAGAAGTCAGTGGAACAATGTTGGCTTGCACCAGCTGAGGAATTGGCCCATTTGTTTTCTAATGATCCTCAATCCTGGAAAAAGGAAGGTGAGTAGATTTTGTGCCTATTCCTAACCTGGCCAGTTTTTATAACAACTTTGTAAAACAAATCTGACTGTAGAGTTAAATTCTTATTTTTCACTCTTTATTATTTACAACATTCTTAAGGGCTTGAAATATGTTTTTGTCTTTTTTCATTTGGCAGACATCAATTTTATTTTCCCCTGTGTTTTGAATAGAGCTGAATATGCTTATTTAATTCATCACCTCTCAGAATTAATAACTGTGCCTACTCCATGCCAAAACATTTCAAGGGTGCCTGGTACATAAACAGTTGATGTTAACTGCCACTCTGGATTAGTTAAATGTTACTACAGAGCCAAAATCTGACAAAGAGCAGAAAGCACTGTGTATGGTGAGCTGCACAAACTTACCTGTTATTTTAAAAATATAAGCTATTTGGTCAGGATTTTTTTTAACATCTGTAAATGTGAAGGACCTTTCCACCAGGTTTGAGAGTAGATCAAATTGGGGGGCTGCAGGAGAGCTTCCACCCCCAGAAGCCCGCAGAGCCAGCCCAGTCCTCCCCATCGGGGGCTCGTACCCCATTCCTCCCTCACTTCCTTCCACTTACCCTTCCCTAGCCCTCCTTCCTGATGTACAAAATAAAGAAAACGTATGGTCAAAAATAGAATCTCTCTTTATGGAACAAAACTCGGGGAGACTGGGAAAAGGAGTTGGGAGAGGGGAAGAGAGAGGGTGGGAGAGGGGAAGGCAACTAAAATGATCAGGGGTTTGGAACAGGTCCCATATGAAGACAGGCTAAAGAGACTGGGACTTTTCAGCTTAGAAAAGAGGAGATTGAGGGGGGATATGATAGAGGTCTA